AGCCTAAGGGGAATGAAGGAAATCTCAAACCTATAAACAAGGAAGAAATGGATTGATATCCAGCAACAATGTTTTCAAGCATATTATTAACAGATAATGTGTGTGCTCTTAGAAAATAATGCAGGAAACATTATGAGCTAGAATGAATTCCCTAAAGATATTTTTTAAACAAACCTGCTGAATTCAAGTTACTTCGCTAGACTAAAACTGACTCAAATGTTTGCAAGACATTTGACTACTTTGTTTCTCATTAGATCATTAGGAAAATAAGTAATATCATACATCACTCACTGAGTGATCTATTTATCACAGGCCCTATTGTACTATCAATAATAATAATAGCTAGCATTTATCAAGTGCCCAACATGTATGACGTATTGTTTTAAATGCATCACATAAATTCATTCATTTAATCTTCCCTACAACCCCATGAAGCAGGCTCAGTTATTAGTCCCCAGGAAACTAAGGTACAGAGAAATAGCCCAACTTGTCCACGAACAGAGTTAGGAAGAGAGCTGGCATAGAAGTACAGGTAGATTAGACCAAAACCTGTACTCTTAACTGCTGAACTTTGTTAACTCCCAGTGTTATCAGCAATTTTTACCACAAACCACAAATTTGGTGCTGTTATCCCCATTTTATAGGCAACTGAAGACTAGAGCATTTTGATAACTTCTCAAAACCCAGTATCTAGCAAGTGGCAGGGCTAAGACTCAAACTGAGGTCTATTAGGCTCTCCAAATCATATCCACTTTTCATGTTGCCGCTGCGTAATGCTACAGTCCATGGTCCTCAGCTGAAAGAGTGGCTTATATAAAGATTCAATTGGGAACACCGTCTCTATTGTTGTTTCACATGATTTTATCCTTCGTCTTACTGGTTCATATTCACTTTATGTGAATTCACATAAGCTGTGCCCATCAAATAGGCAAACAGCACAATACTGAGATAGGTAGTTAATATTAGGTGATATTAGATGAACTGAAATAGCCAAAATAAAATTTTATGGGGATAACTGTGTGTTTCTGCATGTAGTTTTATCAAAATCTATTCCGATACATACTAAGGGGAACCATGGATGGACAGTACTTTTTTGTGAAAATGATTTGGGCATGTAATTTGCTCAACCTAACTAGAAGAAAAGGAGATGTGCTGAAAGGATATGGAGGAGTCTCGTAAAATCTATTTGTGAAAAATACAGCTGAGCCTCACAAGAAGGACATCATCAATTGCTTATTCTTTCTGAATCTACTTTTCTCTGAATATATAATCAGTTCTCCTCTTAGGAGACTAGATTCCATGGTAAGCCTGTTAGTTTCTATTCCACAATAACCTGAGTTTGAACATACCCAGCTTTGCCAAGGGATTATTGGTTCAAACTCCATGGGGTTGTATAGCTCTAGCGACTAACACTATCTAACAACTGTTTGTATACCCATAGTCCAAATTCATAACCCCAGTGTTTACCCAGATCCAATAAGCTACAGCCAGGGAAAGGTCACTTAATACAAACATGACCTCTAGATGTGTTCCTGAAGGAGCATCTCTGATGGAGGGGCTAGCAAGGAGTACCCAAATTAAAAAATGACTTCAAGCTCAAAATAATTCAACAGAGTGATAAAACTACTGAAACAATCAAGGGAACAGTCATAGATGAATGGAAACAGGATGAATAAAATGATACTGTGGCAGGATAACATTTGAAACATATTTGGTCAGTCATGGACAAAAATGAAAGATTAAGACTAGGAAAGGAGACTGAAATCATATGACATGGAGAAACAGGGCTGTCATGTGAAGAAACCAGAGATATTTATAAGGAATGCCTTTAAAAAACAGAACAGAATAGTCCTTGGGTTTTTTAGGAAGGTATAAAGTGGCACAGACAGGTTGTCATCTACTCTACTTGATCTGGAACTGCCAGCTGAAGCCAAAGATTCATCAGACTTTTCTTCCCCACCTTACCCCTCCCCACCCCCCGCCAGCTCCAGCCCCAGTCCCACCCCCACCCCGGGACTCCCAGCTGGGGGAGGCTAACTTTGGTTCTAGATTTGTCTTGGTTTTTTTCAGAGTACTTGACCTACATAACAAATGACTGTGCATCTAGCCACTAGGTGGCAATGTGGGCATTTTAAAGACCGTGAACAGCTCATTGTACAGGTAGCCCTATAAATAGTGCAAACATGTACATTTGTGCTGTCTCTGATGGGCTGGGGATCCCATTTGATTTCTAAAGTAACTGTGCAGAAGTCATAATAATAAAAGATTCCTTTGACCAACTAACATATATTCCAAATCCTATAACAGAGACCGTGTGAGCCTTAGCTGCTGTAATAATGGTGAAGACCCAGCAAGTTTTGTTGGCTACTCTGTGGTTTCAGTTCATCTGTAAGTTGGGGAGTTTGGGCATATGGGAAGAGGAAGCCTAAGTGGATATTTTTTAAAGATTCTGAGGAGGGGAGATAAGGGGACTCTGAGTGGCTAACCCAGAGGACCCTCTGGGAAATGTATAAAGGAAAACGTTTTGGAGAAATGTTACAATAATAGTAATATTCTGTGTTTGACCATGTCTTTGAGAATAGGGGCAAGTGGCAAAAATGGAGTGGAACAGAGTCCCCAGTCCCTGACTGCCCAGGAAGGCAATTTTGTCACAATCAACTGCAGTTTCTCAGTAGGAATGACCACTTTGCACTGGTTGCAACAGAATCCTGGAGGAGGTATTGTCTCCTTGGTTATACTGAGCCTCGAGATGAAGAAGAAAGGAAGAATAAGAGCCACAATAAACACAGAGGAACTTCACAGCTCTCTGTACATCACAGCCTCCCAGCCCAGAGACTCTGCCATCTACCTCTGTGCTGTGGAGACACAGTGCTCCACCGTCATCTGGAGCCTGTACCCAAACTCTGAAGCTCAAAGGCATCATTTCCCCTCATTCTTGTCTTTCTAAACTTGTCTGTCTCTCTCCTTGGGCAGACGATGTCAGTTTTTTTAAGTTTTTTTTTAAATGTAATATTTTCTAAACCACCTCTAAAATGTAAAGCATCATCACCAAGTATTTTAACCAAAACAACACGTGATCTATTATATTGGAAGTAGAATATACAGACTCTGGAGTTAAATAGCCAAGGTACAAAAATACTGATTCTGCCACTTAACTCACTGGGATGATCTTGGCCAAGTTACTTTTTCTCAGTTTTTCCTCAGCTATAAAAAAGAGAAAACAGTGTATCTAACTCCTACGTGTGGGAATTATACAAGGTAATACATGCAATACATGTAAAGTGCTTAAAACAATCCCCAGCACATAGTTAGTATTATGTAAGTGGTAACTATCATTAGTATTAGGTTTAGATGTACCATGAGTTTGCCAATACTCACTGATGGGTTAATACCTTAAATCTTTGGAGAGATAAATGAAGATAAATAACAAGCACCTAATAATAGAGTTTCCAAGTTATTTACTAATAATGCCCAGTAGTCATCAGACTTTAAAAATTGTATTAGGAAAAACATAGAGTGGTTTTAGAAAATCTAGTAGAAGGATGACACTACAGTTTGGTTTCTGTATGGAGATAGACAGGTAAGAGCAGTCATGGGGAAGTTCAGTGCCTTCCTTTGGAGAAAACGCAGGTTCTAATTTTCTCACCTGGAAATCCCTAATGGAAACTGGCATTTATAAAAATTCATGAAAGAGGGGCACCTGGGTGGCTCAGTTGGTTGAGCATCTGACTCTTGATTTTGGCTCAGGTAATGATCTTATGGTCATGGGATTGAACCCTGTGTTGGGCCCTGTGCTGGGCATGAAGCCTGTTTAAGATTCTCTCTTTCTTTTCCCCTCTGTCCCTCTCCTCTTCTCTCTCTTTAAAAAAAAAAAAAAAAAAAAAATTCATGAAATGAAATATCAACCAGTGGGTCTCAATCACTGGTTCTCCACCTTTCTTTCACCAAGGATTCCTTACATCATTCTTTCCCATCCACTGAAATTCTTATGCTGAAACATACTATTGTTATCATTGTTCTTGTAACTTACAAAATTAATTGCATATATTAACATACAACTAAGTCTTTTTCTTTTAAAGTTAAAGTTTTTTTTTAATCAAACTACTACGCATATCTAAACCTACTGCGCATATCTATAAAGTCATTAGTGCTACAAATGTCTGTTCCCCTATTCCTCCACCCAAAAAAACAGCAATACCATGCTCTACTCCCACTTTCCAAACCAAGTCCACTTTAACAATTTCTAAATTATATGTTTTTTTCTTGATTGATCAATATTAGGCATGATCTATTTACCTCCTTTTATGGTAACACACTACCACTCTCACCTTCTTAACACAGTTATATCACAATACGGAGTTAAATCAGTAGTCAGTACAGATATGATTATGACTATGTAAATATTTTCACTTTCCTACCAACCTGAGTATTATGATTACATTTCCTTTCTGGTACCATTTGTGTTTAGCTAATCATTACTTCATTTTTTTTCATTTATTCTATATCAATTTCCTGGGTTTTTTCTAAGTTCTTCAGCAGAGTTCTAAAAATACTTGTTAATGGGGGCACCTAGGTGGCTCAGTCAGTTGAACACCTGACTCTGGATTTTGGCTCACATCATGATCCAGGGGCAACCCCAGGGTCGTGGGATCAAGTCCTGTACTGAGCCTCAGGTCAAGCCCTGCACTGAGCCCAATGATGAGCCCTACATTGGGTTCCGCACTAAGCATGGAGCCTGCTTAAGATTCTCTCACTCTCTCCCTCTGTCCCTCTCCTCCCACCTTGGGTGTGCTCTGTCTCTCTAAAATTAAAAAATAATAATAAAAAAAAAACGCTCGTTAATAATTTCCCCCAAATGCACATCAAGTTGATTATCTATTTTTTTCTTTTTTCCCTAGAGATTCCCTCTCCCTAGACATCTATCCTTTGGCTTGTGTGAACTGATTGTTCTTTGGACCTGGGGCATAAATGTTATTCTAGGATGTTTTTGTATCACTGACCATTTTTGCCATCTTGCATCTTGAATCTCAAATATCTTCATCTCTTGGTTTAATCCTTTCTTTTGCTAAAACACGTTCTCCAAAACTTCTGTAATAAAGCACACATAAGATTTTTTTTCAGTCTTCACATGTCTGAAAATATCTTTATTCTACCCTCATACTTTATTGCTATTTTGACTGAATATAAAATTAGAAAATTATAGGTTGAAATCCCCTCAGCATTTCCAGTATTTGAGTAGAAAAAGTATTTTCACTGACTTTTTTTTTTTTTTTTTGGAGAAAAAGTGTGACAAGCACTCCATTCTCCCTTGGTATTTTGAGGATATCATTCCCTGATGTCCTAATGTCCAGAATTGTTGTTAAGAAAGGTAATGTCATTTTGAATCATTCTCTTTTATGACTTTTTTTTCTCTCTGAACAGGTTTAGGATTCTGTCTTTTCTTCCTAATACTCTAAAATTTCAATTCAGCAAATATACGTGAGTAACTAAGTAGAAAGCATTTCTAGGCTCCATGCATATAATATTCCTGAGACTCTCTGGTGTCTCAGAGGAGCCTATAACCTAATAGTATCTACTGCTCCTCCTGTAATTATGTTCACTTCATACATGTCCACATTCCTTGCCCTGGATGTGACTATCATCCAGGGAAGTAGGCAGGCACAACTTGCTTTACTGAGTCTACCACACCTATAAAAAATTGATAAGAATAAAATATTTCCTCAACATTAAAAGAGAGTTCTCTTCATTAAAAAGCCAAGTAAAGTGATGTTGAACCATCGTCCCTGAATGGGAGTAGGAAAACACTTTTTTTTCAAAGATGCTGGGTACATAAATCGTATTGTTTTATTCACTTGTTAATTTAATAAGTATTTGTTGAAAGGACTATTAAGGGCCAGGCATTATTCAAGACTTTGGGTACACACCAATGAACAAGACAAGCAAAGTCCTTCTGACCATGAAACTTATATCAATCAAGGTACAGAGAGAGACATAATAATACAGAAATAAATACGTTCAATAATTCCACAAATATTTATTGAGCACCTACTATTTACCAGATATGTTCTAAGCCCTAAGGACATAGCAGTGAACAAAATAAACAAAAGAATCTACTCCCATGGAATCAATATTCTAGTGAATAAGTGAATAAGGTAAACCAGATATTATAAATATTCAGAGAAGATAAAAGAGGCTGTTAGGATGGAATAAGAGTGGACAACACTTTCATCAAGTGGTGAGGGAAAAAATTCTGTGAGATGATATTTGGGCTAAAACTCAAAGCAGAATAAAGACCAGGTCATGGGCAGAAAGCATTTGAGGCACAGGGAAAGCAAATACAAAAGCCTTGAAATGAGGGAAAGCCCAGTGTATTCCAGGAACAAGAATAAGAAGGGAGAAACCAAAGTGCAGTGACGGAGCCAAGTGAATTAGGTGGCTCCTGGAGGTGTCTTGTAGAGCCTTACAAAAACCACAGTGAGTTGGATTTGGGATTTATACCAAGTGTAATGAGAAGCTGCTCAAGAATTATAAACAGGCCAGTGACATGGTATGATTTACTTTTTTTTAAACATTATTTGGCTCCAGTGTGGAAAGTAGATAAGGAGAGAAGAGTGGAGGAAAAGCAAAAAACAAAGAAACAAGAACATTTAGTAGACTGTTGAAATAATCCATGCAAAAATGATGGTGGCTTAGACTAGAACGGGAACAATGGCGATGAAGAGAAATATTCAAATGTGAGATATAGTTGACAGTGAAATTAACAGGATTTGCTCAGGGATTAAATGAGGGGCAGGGCAGAGGAAAAGGAACAGAACCAAGAATGACTTCTTGCTATGTGGCCTAAGCAACTGAGTACATCTCAGTATGAGTTCTTGATGTAGAAAAGACTGGGATACTGAAGAGAAATCAAGATTTGTGTTTCATTTTATTTTTATTTTTTTGAAAGAGAAAGAGAGGGAGTATGTGCAGGAGAGAGCAGAGGGAGAAGGAGAGAGAGAGAGAGAGAGAGAGAGAGAGAGAGGGGCGCCTGGGTGGCGCAGTCGGTTAAGCGTCCAACTTCAGCCAGGTCACGATCTCGCGGTCCGTGAGTTCGAGCCCCGCGTCAGGCTCTGGGCTGATGGCTCAGAGCCTGGAGCCTGTTTCCGATTCTGTGTCTTCCTCTCTCTCTGCCCCTCCCTCGTTCATGCTCTGTCTCTCTCTGTCCCAAAAATAAATAAACGTTGAGAGAGAGAGAGAGAGAGAGAGAGAGAGAGAGAGAGAGAGAGAATCTTCAGCAGGCTCCATGCCCAGCTCAGAGCCCAATTCAGGCTCCATCTTATAACTTGTGAAATCATGACCTGAGGTGAAATCAAGAGTCAGACGCTCCAGTAACAGAGCCACCCAGGTGTCCCAAGATTTGTGTTCTAGCCATGGTGGGTTTATGATGTCCATTAGAAACCCAAGTAAAGATGTCCTAAAGAAATTAGATAAATTATTTTTGAGCTTAATAGAGAGGTCAGAGATCGAGATAAAGCCTCAGGTGTCATTGACATGTGGGTGGTATTTAAGGCCAGTTGAGATAGATTTGCTAGGGAGAAAATATAGTGAAGGGATAAGGGCTTGGGTCGGGCTGGAGCACTCCAGAAGAAGGTGAGCAGAGAAGAGAGAGAGAGAGCAGCACAGGGACCTAGAAGGAGTGGCCATAAGGTAGGGGAAGGCCAGGAGAGTCAGGAGAGGGGAATGTCTAACTGTGAGAGGGTACTGGTCTGCCAAGAGGTTGTAAGACAAGAATGGAGAGTTGACAACTGGCTGCAAGGAGATTCTAGTGCATTTGACAAGAACAGTTTCAGTGAGTGGTGGGAATGGGAGATGAATTGAAATTGGTTGAGGAGCTAATGGGAAGCAAAGAAATAGAAGCAGGAAAAATAATTCATTTGAGAAGCTTTGTTCGGAAGGGAGCAGAGAAATGGAATACTAACTGAGTAAGAACCGGAGGTGAGAGAGCAGTTTGTTATTCTGTTGGTTTGTTGGTTGGTTGGTTGGTTGGCTGGTTGATTTTAAAAATAGGCAACAACAGAGTATGCGTTCAGAAGACAAAGCTATCTGAAGGTGCTACTTTATTGTTACGAGTGATAGAAACTCATCTCGAATTTATAAAACTGTAGATATTCAGGATTATATCACTAAATAAATACAAGTGATTCACTTGCAGAAAAGTGACCTCTGGGGATTGCCTAACATTCTTACTTCCAATTTAAATGTATTTTCCTGCATCAGCCCTGAGGTTTGAGCAACTCAGGTTTAAGACCTTTGAGTTGAATTAGCATATGGCCTGGTTACACTCCTTATTAAGGCAGTACCTGAATCTCTAGTTGGGTAACAAATGTCTGAAAAACTAAATGATGACTGCGGAAACACCAATATCGTGTCAGCCAAAGTGAAGCTCTGAGGGGAAAGGAGAATTTTTAATCATTTCCCCAAAATCTCATGACATTCCTCTCTTTGTCTAACTAAATTCAAGATAGCACTTCAGAACTAAATTTAGCCTCTTTGCAATCACTGCAGTTGGAAGGAAAGATCTGTAAAACAATCATGACCTAAGCAATGACAGCTACCTCAGCATCTGTCACACAGGTGACACAAAAACCCCAGATCCCCAAGACTCTACCAGCAGTACTTTTCCATGGCACCACTCTGGAGGGCACCCTTCTTACTTTATTCTATGTGACAGTACCTTCTAGAATTTTACAATACAAAGGCCAAGTCAGCCAGACACTGTTTACCCTAAGAACATAGCCCTCCCGCAAGCCCCAGGAAGATCCTGAAAATCTATAGCATGGGTGTGTACCCAAGAATTTCAGCTTGTGTTTTCTTTCCACTGATTCCTATCCAGGTTTGGAATAGATTCCTGTTAAATTGGATGCTTTTTTTCTTTTTTTTTTAGTATTCTTTCAAAACAGAAGTTTGTGGGGCACCTGGGATGCTCAGTCAGTTGAGCATCCAACACTTAGTTTCAGCTTAGGTCAGGATCTCACAGTTTCGTGAGTTAGTGTAGCTTGGGATTCTCTCTCTCCCTCTCTCTCTGTCCCTCCCCTGCTCATGCTGTCTCTGTCTCACTCAAAATAAATAAATAAATAAATAAATAAATAAATAAATAAATAAATAAAACAAATTTGTGGTGACTTGAAGCATGCTTGCACACCTGTGTATGTGAGACTCGACGATATTTTATGACACTCAAATTCCCATTTTATTCTGATTTACACAAAAATAGGTTTGGATCAGGAAATAAGTTTTATGAATGAAGTATCTTTATTTTGTCCCTCTCCTAGAAGTCACAATGTGCTCTCATGTAGAAAGATCAGGATATCAGAAGATATAAAAATTCACTTATGTAAGATGGTCTTATTATAAAGTTTAGGAACATCACTGCTTGGGAGCTACAGAAAGGACAGGATGACCCTTAAATTTGTCTGTTAGTCACGAGTCAGAGACTTCATACATTACATACACCCCAACACCACAGTCTGTGATATGGAGGGAAATTCTAGACGATCCCTAACAACCTCTCCCAGCCTGAGAGATCTACATTTGGCCTCTGGTGTGAAGCACCTAAAAATAAATCCTTTAAGGATGAGACCAAAGACTCTGGTGATCACCGGGACTTATAATAAAACTCAAAGTACAAATGAACAAGCAATGTTTTTCATTTAGGCAGCATTGTTGTGGAGTTTGTGAAAGCATACAGATGGCATAGTTACCTTCAAGATAAAAGAAGAAGTTATTTGCTCGAGGAGACAAGGAGAAGGAATGAACAAATGTTGAAACTACATTTATTCAGACTATGCCTCCGATAAATGGGTCCTGTCAGGCAATAAATAAAAGCATCTTCTAAAGAGGTTTATGATATTGGAAAAAAGTCACAGGACACTATTCCATACAAGCATCCTGGAGATCATGGACATTTTCTGCTTTGGGGAAGGACAGTATGTATTTTCTTAGTCTTGTGGTCCTTTCTTTATGGCACTCTTATTAACCTAGCTGATCTGTCCCAGAAGGAGCATACGGATCTGTGAGGGAGAAAAGGGACAGACAGCCAAGGTCAGAAG